ACCCGGGGAGGGAGGGGTTTGCATGCAATGAGGGGCAGGGCCTACGTGACCCGCAGGGATTGATTGGTCAGAACTCTAATCAGGACTCTAATCACTGGCCTGATGTCTCGGCTGTCAACTTCACGGCGCCCGCGGGCCTTACGCCCAACCTTCTCATCTGCTCGGAGTCCCGGGATTCTCCCCCGCTACTGGAGCGACCTGTTCAACTACGCTGAAAAAAGCTTCTTTATCTCATGGACAGATCTCAAAATTGATTGTGTTTCTCTCTTTGCCTTAGCTGCTAGGAAGCTCAGGCTAACCCCCTGCCCATCTGGAGCAAGTGAGAGGGACCTTGTAACCAAGCTCTCTGGGAATTCGCTGAGCCCAGGCAGTATCTTACTTCTAACAGGACTTCATTTTTACCAATTACATTTTAAATAATAAGTTTACACTTTTTTTTTTTTTAGTCAGCTTGTCTCTTTGTTAGGAAAATAGAATGTACATGTCATCAATCTTACAAGATTCTGGTATAGATTAAATGTGTCAAGGGCCGGACGAGTGGCTCAGTTGGTTAAGAGCTCGCTTAAGAGTGTGACCTCTGAGCAACAGCGGTTCGATGCCCGGCCAGAGCTGAGCTGCCAACAGGTGGCAGGATGGCTCAGCTAAGTAAATAAATAAACAAACAAACAAACTACCAAATGCACATGGACAGAAGAGTGAATTAATTCTTAAAAGAATAAAAAATAAATGTGTCAATGTCTGAGCTATCCATTCTAAAGCACATTAATGTTATCATTCATTATATTTTTTATCTCCTGTCTCTAAAAATGCAGTGGGGACAAGGGGCAAAGGAGAGATCTGAAAGTTCAGAAACCCCTGGGTCTCTCGCCTCTCTGTTTCCTCAGCTCAGCCTCTCCAAGCTTTGGACTCTTTTTTCTGCCCTTGGGGTCCCAACCAACACTGCTGGAACCTATCACACTGCCCACACCCCTGGGCAAGATCACTGCATCCTCAAGTTCTCTGTGCCCAAAGTGTGCCAAGCCAGGATCCAGGTACTAGGGGCATGGAGAGCAAGGATCAACCCAATACACCACAGGTGCAGCACCCTCCTTCTGTCCTCCTTGCCACACCGTCCTCCAAATCACCACCCAGCCCTTCAGAGCCTGGCAAGGAACCTTAAGATGACTGATACAGATGGCTCTCCCGCTTAATAGGAAATGAAGGTTCAGGAGGTACACATGCTGGAAGCCCACCTAGACCCTCCCTGAAACCAGCTTTAGCTGCCTCCCCTGGGGAGGCCCTGTTTCAAATAGATTCGCCACTTCCTCCTTCATCCTCCCTCTGCAACGTTCACCCCCACCCCCTGCCACCTCATGCCCAGCTCTATGAGCACACCCGTGGGTGGTTCGGGATGAGCAGGGCACCCCTTGTGACCACCTCCTGCTTCCTACTCCTCCAAAGCCACTCATTCTGTTCCTGACACAGCCAGCTTTCCTGTCTGTCTCCTGGCCACTGCCAAGGTCATCCTGGGACCACCCTGGCCTTAGAGACCTTGTCACCACATGCCCACACCCTGTCCAACCCCTAGCACTCATTGCAAATGCTGCTTCCTCTAACATCCACAGACACACAGGAACTCCTCGGCCCCTTTGGGGTGTTAGTCAAAGGCTCAGGGTAGGGGGCAGCCAGGCTAAGGCAGGAGGCCAGGCCATGTGTGGGAAGCCATCTCCATGCCCACACAGTCTGAGCCTGGCTTCCCAGGAAAAGCAATGGCTCTCTACCTCCCACTCTTCCCCCAAACAGTCTGACCCTGGGCTGATCCAGACATAGCCTCGCAAGTCCCTATATCCAGTTGGAGGCCACACGTCAATAGCAGGAGGAGCCTGGGGCCCCTCCCCAAGGCCACAGTCCACATCTGCTCTGAGGATATTCCCCGACTCCCCTCTCTCAGTCCCATTTCTCAAGGAGGAAACTGAGGAAGGGGAGCAGGGCCCACTATCACAGAGCTGGCCCACAGTCAGTGCAGGATGGACTCAGCACAACTTCCCACCTTTCAAAACCTCACCTCCAACACCTGGCACTGTCACCACTCTTCCACATCCACACCTGTGCTTTTGCTTGTCCCCTCTATTGAAATGCTCTCCTGACTTTCTGTTCCTCCCTTGTCAGTAGGTGCCCAATAGAAAAACTGGCCCTCATGGCTTTTACCTCCTTGGGGCCATTCCAAGTGAACCAGCTATCCTAGCCCAGGGGTGGGAAGTGTGCCAGGATGTCAGCATGCACTCATGTGTGAACATGTCCTGCTCAGTCTCTCTCCACCATGAACCCACCTAGCCTGGCCTTGGTTGCCTCTCATGGTACCTTCTGCACTGACCACTAGACCTCCTCTCAGTGTCCCAGGCTACAAGCTATGGGGTGGCTGGGATCCTCAATCATCAATTCTCACTATTCCATCCTGTATCTGCCAGTCAGTCCTGGCCAAACCACCAAGCTACCCTTTGCAGCATAGAAGTCCAGGGACCTCAGTAAATACCACGCAGACTACACACCAATGCACAAAAGCATGTATATGCACACAGCTGCACGTACACATGCTAACAAGCCCTGCGTCCAGGCCCACGCAGAGACAGGCAGGCTGCAGCGGGCCTGCTGCTCTCTGCTGCCTCCCTTCCCCTTTATTCCCCTCCTCCTCTCCCCTCTGCTGCCACTGGGAGGTTCAGGGAGTTCCCAGGAGTTCCAGCTTCCTCTGGCCATTTCTGGTCTCCCTGGACCCAGAGCTCACAGAGCGGGTGAGGTTCCAACTTGGGAGTATAGAGCCATGTGACCAAACAGCCTGGGAACCCTGATCTGCACTTGCTGATTCCAGCCTGGCACAGGGGACACAGTAGATGTTAAAGGTGACTCAAGACAGCCAGGGAACACAGAAAGGGTTCAAAGAGGTTCATGACCAGGACAGAGCACACAATAGGTGCTTAGTGCAGCTCAGGATGGGGACAAGGCCCACAGTAGGTGCCCTACAAATGCTGGTTTAAGGGTTACAGCCACATCATAGGCAAAACTTCCCAAATGAGCCTCTGGAGCTCCCCAAACTGGTGTGACCCCTCAGGGGGGACCTGGACAAACAGTGACCCCTTGGAGGCCAGCAGAGGGCCCAATGGGAAGGCCTTGGGCAGCTCCAGCTGGCTGTCCCTCCCCCTGGGCTAGAGGAAGAAGCTATTTATAGTTACCTCTTGGCCCAGCCCTCTCTCCCCTGCAAGGCAACAGTGTCCCCCCTCTTCCAGACCACTGACATACTGATGCCCCTCAGGGCACCCCTATACCTGCAGAGATGCCCAATAGCCTCCCACCCCTTCCAGCACCACCCCCACTGTGCCCAGGTCATCTCCCAATCTCCCCACGCTCTCCACACCACTCCGTGCCTACCCTGCCTGTTGCTCCCTGACCCGCAGTCCGTCAGGAAGCTGCCTCGTTCCGTGCCTCTGTCCATCCTGCAACCCAACTGGCCTGGGCTACCGCCCCCTGCAGCATGGAGTCGGGCAACCCCGCCCTCTGGCTCTGGAAGGAGCGGCGTGCCCTGTGGCCCCGCCTCTCCAGCCCCGCCCTGGGCCCCGCCTCCCAGGCTGCTTTCAACTGAGATCAACATCAGTGCCCCCACCCTAGACAGCCGCACTCCGGCCAGCATTGCCTCTCTCCATCCAGAGCTGTCCATGCTGCCCAGTGTCTGCCCTCGTCTCCAACTGGAGTTGTCTACACTGCCCAGCCTGCCTGGTCCATCCTTAGGCAAGCCTGTCCACATTGTCCAGGTCATTCCCATCTCAGGCCCAGCAATGGAGTTGCGAGTGTGAGATAAAGCAAAACTTACTCCTTCCACACCAAGGGATCGGGTCAGTGAAATGGGGAGTGGGGAGCGGGCAGAGGGGCAGCACAGCCAGCTGTGACTCACCTTCCATGTGTCACTGCCTGGGTGCACACTGAGTGTGACTCTTGGCCTCCCATTCTGTAATCACTATATTTATTGAGTGCTTCCTGCACACCAGAACCTTCAGGTACACTTGTCGCTTGTTCCCAAGAAGCTTGGTGGCATCCCTCTGCTTTACAGATAAGGAAACAAGCTGGGAAATGTGAGCAGGCCTGCTCAGGACAACTTGATGAGCGAGGGGCAGAGTTGGGTGAGAGCCGCGGCGTCCTGCGCCTCCTCACCCCTGCGCCATGTGCGTCCGAGGGCTAGGGCTGGGTGTACAGGGGTGTAGGTAGGACAGTGCCTGGCTGAGTGCTGTGCACGCTTCATGCAGGTTTGGGGGGGCAAGCGCCTGTTCCTCTCAGCCCCCTCACATGCCCCCACCTTGCTCACACATTCGTGTAGCTGTCAGACACCAGAGGCAAAGCCACACATGCACACACACACACCCCCACACACAGGCAAGGCTGCCAAAGCCACAGACTTCCCACTGTGGTCATCTGTGCCTGGAGATGCCCCTGACGGCCCCGTCCATCTGAGTGGGTGCTACTTTAGGGAGCACTAAACATGCATGTGATCCTCAGCCAGGACTTCCCACACCCCTGTGTGGTGACCTGTGGGGACAAGGCAGCCCTATGGGTCTGGTCTTAGGTGGACTGGTCCCAGATGCAGTGATGGGCTTCTATGTTGAAATTCCCAAAAGTGGTGTGATAGTGACCAACCACATGTAGTAGTATCCAGATGCTGTGACCGTGGGGCACCCACACATGATCATGACCTTCCACGGTAGTGTCCAAGCTGTCCAGACAGATTGTAAGTCTGTGGGGCTCCCAGGCATGGCAAGATTCCACTTGGCAGCCACCCGACGTGGCAACATCCAGGCTGTCCAGACACACTGTGACTCTGTGAGGCACTCAGGTGTGGTATGGCACCACATGGCAGTGACCCCATATGGTGGTGTCCAGATGTATTGTGCCCAAATGTAGTATCGCTCAGCTCTGCTGCTGCCCTCCAGGTCTCCCCATCCAGGTGACCCCATCATTGTGACCCCCGTCCCTCAGGCTCAGCGGCGGCCAACATGGGCCAGGATGTGAGCGTTGGCGGCGGCCTGCTCCCTCGCAGCTCTGGCCCGGGCCTGCTCCAATAGGATCTGCAGGAGGCCGAGAGGGACATCCAGCGAGAGGGTGATGCGTGGGCCGGGGCGGGGTTCAAGACTGAGGTGGCTCCAAGCAGTGGAGGGGCCTGTGGTGCTGGCTGAGGGGCTCTCTGAGGCCACAGGGCAGGGAGTGGCCTGAGGAAAGTTCTGAGGGAGGAGCTGGAAGGTTGGGATAGGGGTCGCAGGGACAGCTGGGACCCTGCCCAACGTCAGGACCATCAGCACCAGCAGAGCGCACCTGGTCATCACGAGGTCCGGCTGTGAGGAGAAAACAGGCTCAGGCAGGGGCTAGAGTCAGCTGTGGCTCAGGGACAGACAGGTGGAGAGAGCAGAGACCAAGAGACTGAGAGCTGAAGTTTAGGGGGGGCGGGCAAGGGACAGAGAAAGACAGGGACAGAGATGACGGGACAAGGAGAGAGCCAGAGTGAGACAGAGAAAACCAAGACAGACAGAGAAGGGGCCAGAGAGACAAAAATGAGTGAGACAGAGATAGATAAAGAGACAGAGAAATCCAGAGACAGTGTGTGTGTGTGTGTGTGTGTGTGTGTGTGTGTGTGTGTGTGTGTGTAGAGGGAGAGAAGGGGGGGAGGATAAGGAGAAAGAAATGGAGATGAATGAGAGGGAGGAAGAGCAAAATAGAGGGAGCCTAGAAGAAAGAGACAGAAACCAGCCCAGAGACAGACACCGTGATGGAAATAAGGATGCAAAGAGAAAGAGAAACACAGCGGGAAGAAGGGGCGCCTGAGGTCTAAGCAAGAGCAGCTGTAGCAGGTCCAGGACAAAGAGGGGGTGCTAGTGGGAGTCCTTGAGGAGCAGGAGAAGCAGCCAGAGCCCCAGAGCCCCCTCAGGTCCAAAGACCTCCATTCACCCACACCCCAGATCCATTCACCCCCCAAGGCCCTGCCCATCCCACCCTGACCCTAGTCCTACCAGAAGCAGCAGCCTTCTCTGGGGTAAGTCAGGGCCACCGGGGCTGCCTGGGGCTGGGGCCAGGCAGTGCTGTGCTGTGACCTCACTCTCTGTCCCATTCAGGGCCCTTTTATCACCCTCAGTCCCCTGGGGTGGGAGCTGGGGCATGTCTCCTGGCATGAGGCAGCCCCCCACCTATGACTCAGCCCCTCCTGGGGAGCAGTGAGGACATATCCGCATTTCCCACCCTGTGTACTCCTTTTTGGGGACAAGTTGGGGACTAAGGGTCACAGGACAGTGTCCGGGGATAGACAGAGGGACTCTGCACCCATGCAGGATAGTAGTGACCTCCCAGGGAAAACCTGCCTCCCAACATCCCCATCTTCCCAAACAGTCACAACAGGGGGTCTTTTAAAACAGCAGCTTTAATGCCCCCCAAGAAACAGCACCATGTCATCACAGGCTTGGGTCAAGGGGCGGGTCAGACATAGTCACATCCGCTCACTGCCCACAGCCACCCCCACACTGAGTCATCTGCCAGGGAGGCAGGAGCCACAATGGGGGTTTGTCCACAGTGGGGAAGGCTAGACCCACAGGGACCAAGTCACTGAAATAACGGACAGACTCATGCACGCTCACGTGCACACAAGCCTCTAGCACCAAGGAAAGGGACAGCAGGGTCCTGCTGAGACGCCGACTCCTCTGGGGGGTCACTGGACTTCAGCTCATCATCTGGGCCTCAGCTCTGGAGAGCACCTGATAGGGCAGATTGGGAGCTGTCTTCAGCCACCTGACTTCACCCAACCTATCGGCCACAGAGCAGCACTGGGCAAAGGATCAGTGTGGGAAGGAGCTGGGGCCAGCGGGAGTGGGGGCTCTGACCTCAGAGGGGGGGGCCCTTATTAGGTCATTCAAGGAGGGAGCATGGAGGGGACCATACTGGGGACTCCATAGCTGGGCTCTCTATTCAACTCTTTGGTCTGGGGGTCTGTCCCAGGTCCCACAGTTTGAGGGGACTTCTGACCCGGACCCTGATTCAGGACCTGACCTGGATGGTCTCAGTGCCCAGGCCGCTCCTGGGGTGGGGTGGTAGGCTCATACCAGTTCCCTGGCTCTGGACCACCCGGCGAGGGCAGCGGCGTTCACAGGCCTCACGGGTCCCAAAACGGTTGGCATTCCCTCCACAGCCACCATAGACAAAGGGGTGACAGGCTTCTGTGCCATCTGCCACAGTTCGATGGTACCAGCGCAGGGTGTAGGCAGTACAGGAGCCCTCGTCCAGTGGAAGGGAACAGGGATCTGGGCCAATGGGGGGTCAGGAGGTCAGCAGGGGTGGTGGTAGTTAGCGAGGGACTGGGGTCTGTCGGAGGTCAGCAGGAACCAGCTCTGCCTACCCCTCCCCAAATCCCTCTGGGCCCAGTCGCCATTCTCACCGTCGCCGTCCCAAGAAGCCTCTGGGTCCTGGTAGTCCTCCACAGAATACTCAGAGTACTCATACTCATCATCTTCGGGGGGCACCCGGCCTGCACGCAGGGTGGGCCAGGTTTATGCTGCCCAGCCCCAGCCCATGGGGCAAGGCAGGCAGCACTGGTCTTTTGAGTGTGTGCACAAGAGTGTCCGTGCATGTGCCCTGCATGCATGAGCACCCTGCCTGTCTGTGCTCCACCCACCCATGCCCTGTGGGTCCAGCTGTCCTCACCTTCCTCCTCTGCATGAGAGACCCGGAGCACAGGCACGAGGTGGCGCTGGGGGCCAGCAGTGTCTGCAGCATAACTAGGGATGGGTCCTGGAGCAAGGAGCAGGGGGGTACAGGACCCTGGGGTCATCGTGATGGCCACCCCAGCCCTGCCCCCACTGAGGGGACCAGGTGAGGAAAGTTCCGGGCGCAGAAAATATCAGAGAACTACTCACGTGACCCAGATGCGATAAACTGGCCCTGGCAAGCTGGAAGGGGCAGTGGGGACAGGGAGAGAGACAATGACGGAGAGAGCAAGAGACAAAGATGGAAAGAGGTAGGGAGAGAGAGAATCACACACACAGGGGTTAGAGATATACAGAGAGGGACAGCAGGAGGGACAGAGCGGGACAGAGAGACAGACAGAATGGGAGAAAGGAAGAGAAGCAGAGGGAGAGAGAGAGAATGAGGAAGAAAGGCAGCAGAGAAACAGAAAGGACAAGAGGGAAGTTGGGAACAGGTCAGCAAAGGGCAAGAGAGAGAGGGAGAGACAGATGTTCAGAAACAGGCAGACATGAGACGGAGCGAAAGCAGTAAAGCAGTCATCGACCGAGAGATGGGAGGAGACAGGCGTCACTCTCTGATGCCCGTCAAGGCCATCAGAGACCCCCGGCCCCATGTTAGGCCCAGAGGGACCAGCTTTGCTCCCACCTTCACCCGCTCCACACATGACCATACTGAGCAGCCAGGAACACTCCATGTCCACCCACATCCGCCTGCGTGTCTCCCTTGGGGAAGTCCTGTCACCATGTCTGTCCTGAAGAATGTGCATCCTTCTGTGTATCCATCTGTCTCTGCCCATCTCCTTGACTGCTTGCCAACCCCCCCATAAGTTCTGGGGACCCTGCCTGCCCTTTTCTAGGGGTGCTGGGGTGGACTGGGGATGGGACACAAGAGATTCTGGGTGGGGTCCCACTCACCGCAGTGCTGACTCATCTCCTGACGCACGAAGCCCCGAATGTCATCCTCCTAGGAGCACCAGACCACAGGGATCACCAAGAACCCACAGATCCCAGGAAGGACAAAGGGCCCATGATGCAGGGATCATGGAGGGACAGCATCGAGTCAGGGGCCCAGGGCCTGGGGGGTCAGGGTGTTGGGTGCAGGAGGCAGGACCCCAGCCCACCCTGGCCCACACTCACTGTCAGCGCAGCTGCTCCCCTCTCACCGCGGGGGCCAGCAGGTCCTGGCCGCCCCTATGTGCAACAGGTGGGACCAGGCTGTGACCTCTCATCTCAGAGACACCAGAGGTCACCCCAATCTCTCACCCCAAGCCCAGGGATCCCCACTCACCTGCTCCCCTCTCTCTCCAGGGGCTCCAGGGGTACCAGGGGCACCCACCACACTCTCTCCAGGGGGACCTCGCTCACCCTGTCAGACGTAAGGCTGAGTGAGCAGGGTCAAAGGTAGGACAAGTTTGGGATTATAGGTTCAGAGGTTGGGGCAGGGATATTGGGAAATTGGTTACATGGTCAGAGGTCAGTAAAGTTGGAAGGGTCAAGGAGGTTCAGGGATCAGAAATCAGAGTTAGGGCCCCTCACCTTCTGGCCCTGAAGTCCTTCAGATCCTTTGGGACCAACACTGCCAGGTGGCCCAGGGGGACCACTAGAGCCTTCATTGCCCCTGGGACCTGGGAGACCCCCAATTCCTGGGGAACCCTGAGGAGAAATATGTTAGGGTCATTGATCAGAGTCCCCAAATAAGGACCCACTTCCTGAGAGCACAATCCCTTCATTTCACCATGACCTTGGCCTCAACTTACCCGTTCCCCTTTCTCACCCTGGTCACCCTTGGGTCCTGACTGTCCATCAAAGCCTCGGTCACCCTGGGAACAGAAAAAAGTATGAGAGACTCTCCACCCTGGCCTCCCTCATCTCAACCACCATGAGCCCCCTGGCTCAATGGCCACAACCTTTCATAACCCGAATACCTATGACCCTCCATCTGCTGTGATCCCCATGACCCTGATCCCACTGTAACACCCCCTGCCCTATTTCCCCTACACTGACACTCCTCCACTGACCCCCAACCCATTGTAACCCCTTAGCCCTGATGCACACATCCCCCTGCTCCACCTCCCATCCCTCTATCCTAAATCCCACTGTGACCCCAACCCACCCTGAAACCTTAAGACCAGCTCTACTCCGCCCCTCAGTGTCCCAACTTTCCACAACCTTCCTTCACCTGAAACCCCATGGCCCTACCGTGACCTTCCTTGCCCATCCTGACCCCCCTGATGTCCACTGTTGAGAGACTCCATACCTTGGGACCGATCAGGCCTTCTTTGCCAGGGGCCCCCGACTGGCCTGGCACACCCGGCTCCCCCTGGAGAAGAGAAGACATTGAGCTAGGCCCTGGACCACCGTCCTCCCCAGTCTGGGTGTGCCCACACTCACCATATCTCCCTTGCGTCCTGCCAGCCCAGGGCGGCCCGGAGGACCAGCTTCTCCCTACAGGCATCCAGTGGAGGGGTCAGCCTTAGGCCCCAGGCTCCCCAGCCACCCACATCCCCCCTCATCTCTGTACCTTATCTCCCTTCTCTCCGTCGAGGCCACAGGCTCCCTTCATCCCCCGTTCACCCTGAAGAAAAAAGCAGGTGAAA